ATACGCTGGACCGAACAGGTTCGAGTCTCAGCTTGGATGTGGCTTTTGCGGTGACACTTGTAACAGCTCCACAACCCCCTGTTTTTTCTACACCTAAACCAAACGCCGAACTCATCCTTGTCAGTGGAAGATATGTAAGTAAGACATTGTGATCAGACAGCTTCTTGAAAAGTTTACAAAAGTATAAATAAGTTGAGACACTTACAAACATGGCGTACTCTGAAAATGCCTAATTTTCCTCCAACATGGACGTAAAGTACATAATGTTGGAATAGTTCTGTTGGGCTATAAATAAAAGCGCAGTTCCTTCTAATTTCAAAAATGACCAATAGCAGATAAATGCCACTTTAACAGTTGGTGCCAAATTTTGTTTGGTATAGCTAATTTATCAGAATGTATAACTGCACATGAAACACACTGAGAAATCTTTGAAAAAATGGGTCAATCACACCGGCTCTAGAATTTTCTTCGAAGGGGGAAGAGAGGAAATGGTGAAATCTTTTCCGGTTGGGCTTATTGTTTCGTCCTTTGAGAAAAAAAATTTTACGCTCAACAGTTTTTGAACTTCCAAAAATCACTTTGTTGTTTCCCGTCCACTCCCGTCAATAGCGGATTACCATTTTTATCAGTACTAGTAACCATATTCACATTACTTATATCAAAACATGAAAAACTTACCTCATCACGGCTATGAGCACATATCTTTCAGTCTCTTCTGGTGAAATCACCTTAGCTTTATTCTTGAAACTTTCTCCTTCTTCAATTTGAAGCACGGAAGGGATGAGGCCGCACATGAACTGAAATTTGATTTCAGTCTGGTATACTGCATATCAAAAAAGAAGAGTCATTATACCTCAATCATTTGTAAGGCTTGCAACTGCAGCTCGACGTTTTTCCTCATCATCATAGGCACAAATACATTGAAGTCTTGTGCAGCTGCCACTGGTTCGAGACTAGTCTGAATTGGATCCGCGGTTACCATAGAGTCCAAGAAAAATGCTTATAGAACCTTTTGATGGAGTGTCAGCTGATCAGCTTTTGCAGATTTCAGTTCTGCTCGTAGCTGCTCCAATGGAATATTGGAATCTGCGCAGAAACATTCGACGAGCGTGTCCACCAACTCTCGGAATTCTTTGTGAATGTTTTCGAATAACGAAACATCTGCCTGCTGTCGATCGAACGCTATAACACACAAATATTATGCGCGGTACATTGGTTTTGCTCAAGACAGTGTTTTTGCGGTGATGACAACGTTATCGCGGAAACACGTGTCATCCTCTGTTAGCCGGCAACTTGCTTGTGAACTGGCGTAAAAAATGAGAATGAAGTGCTTGTTGTCTATTTATTATTTATTTATGCGCGAAATTTGGAAAGTCAACCCTTCATAGTCTACTTTGTATGATATTTCCTCAATTCAACTCGTTTTAGCCCCCTCCGTTTCCCCCCTGAAAATAATTTTCAAGAACAAAAACCCCGATTTTACACTGCTATTATTGTCGTGGCATCCAAGCCGAATATATTAGTACATAGTGTAATCCCCT